GGTAAAATGAGGACCCGGATTGTTGGGGACAATATGCTGACTCTGTAAACCGCTTAGAGAGGGCTGAAAGCTCTATGAAGCGGTATATAAGTTTAACCTGCTATTGCTATTGCTATTGTTTAACTCTGTTCACTATTCCACAAGATTGAGAGAAATCTTCCACCAAATGGGTGGTTCCATTCGTTCCTGTTTCTTTTTTTTCTCCCTCTCTTTGAGCTGTTTTTTTTAAAAATCCTATGGGGCTTCTTTCCATTGATCTCTCGGCTTGCTTTCCCTCAACTTGTGGCTACTTGGTATCCTACTGATTTCTTCTTGCCATTGGGAAAAACTACCAAATGACTAAAAAGATGAAGGCACGGGCACTTTGCATTGACACAACCTGTGAAATATTTTAAAATTAACATGTCTGCAGATAATTGAGGTAAAGTTTATTTCCACCTATCTATTGGAATATGGAGCATAGTTCTATTCATACTTATTCAAAAGTTGCCTTGATTTCAGTATTACTTATTCTCATGTAACTATGTGTGGAATTAGACTTCAGGTCAGTTTATTCATGTCCTTCAAATTCATATTCTACATGCATTCTGCATTCCTCATTCAATCCATGTATAAATGGTTGACCGCCATCATAAATAATACTTATTAACAGAAAAGATTTGCCAGTTGTGCCAAAATAGAATAGTGGCAGAGGTATTTAGCCTATATTTAGTAAGACGTAAAAGAGATGAAAAGATAAATATATAATACTGAAGTTACATTATCAGTATCATATCAACAATTTATATCAATCATTAGTATTAACAATTTGTATCATAGCAGCTAAACATATTTTGTATTCCTCTATAGTTTCTCCTTTCAGGATGCATTTGACAGATGGTATTCCCAGATGAATGTAGCATTTTTAGCAAAATTACTTTTTCTACTTATTTATTGACCAACAACTTCTTGTTCAACACAAGTTCAGAAGCTTATGTGTGCCTTAATTAATAGATTGTACCTAATCTTTAGACCATGGTGAAGACTTATGATATTGATATTAGCAAACATTTCACTTATATTTTGGTAGTTAAATATTCATTCAAACCATTGCTATGTTATCAACTAAACTTCATAAAATATGGTTATCTCTGTTCGTTTCCCCTCTCTGTCTTTCTTGCTCTAATTTTTACTTTTGAAGCTATAGCCACACCAATAATAAATGCTTATATTGTTAATGTGATATAATATGCAAAATTATAAAATAAATTTTATTTTTCAGTTTTCTAGATGCAAAGTAGCTAGTTTAGAACCCTTGTTTAATGTTATAAAAAGCCTTCATTCCTGGCCCATAAATAAGGCTTAGCTATCTTTTACACTAAGGAGATACAGATAGTTCTCATTAGTAGCTGTTTAGTGACTTTTCAAAGTTATAGTGGTGATGAAAAAGTAATGTTTATGATCATTCCTTGTATTTATGACCTTTACAGGTCTGTAAAGCAAAGGAAAGCTGAAGTAAGATCATAAGCATAGTAGCAGTTTCATTTAGTGACCACTTCCACTTAATGACCAAGTTGCTGGTCCCAATTGTAGTCTCCCAAAAAAGAGCTTCCTGTATAGATAGTTATCAACTTACAAAAGTTCATTTAGTGACCAAAGTTACAACAGCACTTAAAAAAGTGACCTATGATCATTTTTCACACTTTTGACCATTGCAGCATCACCATGGTTATGTGATTTACATTCGGATGCTTGATAACTGACTCACGTTTATGACTGTTGCAGAGTTCCAAAGTCATGAGATCCCATTTTGAGACCTTCTGACATGCAATGTCAGAGGGGAAACTTAACAACCACATTACTAACCTAACAACTGCAGTGATTCATTTAACAAATGTGGTGGGAAAAGTAATAAAATGGAGCAAAACTCACTTAATAAATTTCTCACTTAACAACATAAATTGTGATCGTAAGTTGAGGACTATTTGTACTTTGCAAAAGTCAGTCTTGTTTAGCAACAATAATAAATTGCCTTCAATATATCATCAGTCACAGACAACTGTACTTCACATTATTAACATGGCCTAAATTAAACTTGGAAGCAGCAGGATAAAAATCAGCAACAGGGAACAATACTCAGAGTACTCGTTTCTGAGGTGGAAAAAAATTCAAGAGTTGTGTTCCACATTGTGCTCATGGAAGATAGGAGGGTATTATAGCAGCCCAGAGCATAGGTTTAATGCTAATAGGTAGGGTGGGGATATTTTTTTCTAAGGCTGAGGTTGGATGTGATCATTTATTTAGTTCTGTACGTAGGTCTTTTCATTTGGTTATTATATTTGTTTCCAAAGTAAAAGATGTGTCATTACCCAGATACGATAGGCTATAGTTCTCTTTATCTGTGCTCAGGTCAATGGAAAATTAAACAATAACTGAAGGGTTTTATGCTGCATCCTCTCCCTGTAATCTATGTTATTGATAAGGAGTCAAAGTGAACAAATTAATGTCGAATATGACTCATAATGTGTAATGCCATCATATTAGTACTTATTTTATAAGTCCTAATAACCCCTAGATTTGGATTTCTAGTTGGATGTTGCTTCCTCTGCTAATAAAGGTATCCAGGAAAGGTACTGTGAAACAGCATTTAGAAGCTATAACACCTCTATATTTACAACAAAAATTATGAATCCAATATGTAGGCAACACTTTATCATCAATAACACCAACAACAACTAGAGAAGACACATTAAATAATCAACAACATCTTTGAAGGAATAAAATTTACAAGGGAAGAAGAAAACAATGTACAACAATTATATTTGAATGCATTTACACTTATCTATCATACTCAGTGTATCTAAATTTTGAAGCATTATAGTAGTTTTATGTTTATTTTTGTGCCATACTTCAATTAATATTTTTTTAAAATTTACAATGCAATATTAAGTTATTTTTAGAAAGTACTTTATAAAATCTTAGAAGACATTTATGATCTCCTCACTGAGACAGGGCATGTATCTTGTAATATTATTTTTGATGCAGCACTTACATGCCTTACTTAAAAGTACAAATATTTCAGTTCACTACTATTATATCATTAATATGTAAATGTACCGTATTTTCACGACCATAAGGCGCACTGAAAATCCTAAAATTTGATCAAAAACCGGCAGTGCGCCTTATAATCCGGTGCGCCTTATATATGAAAAAAGTTTGAAAATTTACCATTAACTGATACTGCGCCTGATAATCCGGTGCGCCTTATGGTCGTGAAAATACGGTATACAGATTTTAATTGA